GTATTCGGCGTCCACCAGGCGTGCGGCCTGGCAAGAAGACCGCGACCGGCGCGCGCGACGTCGCTACACGCCCGGGGGAACGCCGTGGGGTTCGCCGGCGTCGCGAGGAAGAAGAAGGCGGCGGTGGGGAAGGCGGTGAGCGGCGGCGGCGGGGCGCAGTCGCGCGCGTCGGCCGCGCGTCGGCGTTCGTCGCGTGCCGCGCCGACGGCTGCGACCTCATCTTCAACGGTCGCGAGAAGCTCGCCGACACGTGCTCGCCTACCACGCCCGCGCGCCGCCGCGCCGCCACGACGTGCCTGCTGTGCGACGACGCACGAGGCGGCGGCGGCCGACGACGGTGGCGCCCTCGCGGCGCACGTCGCCGCCGCCCACGCGCCGCCGTGCGAGTGCCGCGCGCACGACTGCCAGCGCGTGTTCGAGGACTACGCGCAGCTGCGGCAGCACCACGAGCAGGCGCACGCGCACCGCTGCGGCAATGCGAGGCGGACTGCGCCGGCGAGGTGCGCTGCGGCGCGCACGTGCTCGCGAGCACTGCCGCGACGAGCCGACGGCACCCCCCGCCGCGCGGGAGGCTCTGCTGAAAGGAGTCTCGCTGTGCGTCGTCGCGGGCTGCGGCGAGTCGTGCGGCGGCGAGGACGAGCTCGTGGCACACCTCTGCGAGACGCACTGCGAGACGCAGACGTCGGTCGTCTCGCCCGGCCGCGGCTGCTATCGCAGCTTCGCCGGACTCGCGCCCCACAACAAGGGCGGAGGCGGCAACGCTCATTCCCCATCGCCGGGGAAGAGACCGCACGCGGCGCCGACGCTAGAGGAGAACGGCGTTGAGGTGACGCAGAACGGGGATGCGGGCGGCGGCGGCGGCGGCAGGGTGCGGACGCGCAGCAGCAGCAACGTCGGCGTCGAGAGCGTGTTCGTCTGCTGCCTGTGCACGTGCGCGAAGCCCTACAGGACGCGGTTGCCGCGGCAACTCGACGCGCACCTGCGCGAGCATCTCGCCGAAGCGCGTGCCGCCGCCGCCGACAAGCGGTCGCCGAAAAAGAAGATCGCTGCGGCGAAGATGTCGCCGAACAAGCGAACGCCCGCGAACCGCGAGGAGCGCCCCCTGGCGACGAAAGGCGGCCGCGGGTTCGAGCAGGCCTTCGCTGACTTCCTGAGTTCGACGACGAAGCAGACGAAGAATCACGTCGGCGACGGCGGCGGGAGGCTGGGCGCGCGGTCGCCGCGGCGCGGGCAGGAGTCGGCGGCGCCGAAATCGGAGAGGCGCGCGAGCGAAGCGGAGCCGGAACAGGCAAAGACGGAGGACGGCGCGAGAGCGACGACGGACAACGGCGGATCCGCGTCAGACAGACTGCGGACGGACGGAGCCGAGAACACGTGTGCGCCTAGCAGGGAGGCACCGCGGGACGATCGCGACGAGGAGAGAGTCGACGGCGACGCCGCGGCGGTCGACGAGACTCCGGCGGCGGCGGCGCGCAGCGACGGAGCGGACGTTCGATCGGAGACGGGCGATCCATCTGTGGTCGCCCGCGGATCTCGGCAAAGCGAAGCAACAACGGCAGCGGCGGCGGACGTCCCCGAGGCGGCGCCGGTTGACACGGTGGCGCCCCCTAGCAGCGTATCCGCGGCGACAAGCGGAGCGGTTGAGAACGGCTCGACCGCCGACGCGTCGACCAATCAATCTCCCGGTGACGTTTCGCCGTCCGACGACGTTTCGCCGCGTGGCGCGGAGGGAGAAGCTGGGGAGCTTTCTCCCGGATCGCAGACGTCGGAGCCGCCGCCGAGCTCGACTGCCCTCGACACGGAAGATCGAGATCGCGCGGACGCCGTGGGAAGCTGTCGTCCTCCAAGCGAGACGAACGACGCGGTAACGCCGGTCTCGCAAGAGAAACCGGCGGCGGAGGAGGAGGGGAAGGGGGTCGCGAGCGGCGGCGATGAGCAGGGGCGGCGCGTGGCGGATCGCTCGCCCCCCCCTGCCGTCGGCGAGCTCGGGGGCGTGGATCGCGCGTCGACCTCAGTCCCTGACGCGGGTTCGCCGGCAGTTTCGCAGACGTCGCCCCCGTCCTGTCCGCCTGCCGCAGTCGTGGAGACGCCCCAGCCGGCCGCAGCTCTGCCTCTCGCACCCGAGCACAAGCTTGAGGACGTTACCATGGAGCCGGGGGCGTGGAAGGAACCGGAGTCGCTGCCGAAGTTGGTAATTGCATCGCCGGGTGGCGCCGGTGGCGCCGCGGAGCTGAAATCGCCGTCGGGGTCGGGAAAAGCTCCTAGGTGAGTTGAGAGAAGTCGGTGATTTTAACGCAGACAAAACTATTTTCCTTGCTCCCCTGCTCATTGTCCTTTACTGTCAACTGTCTAGTGTAAAAAGACGAACAACCTCCTACCCCTGCCCAGTGTCTGTCACTCTCCACTGTCTCTTGTGATTGAAGACAACCTCCCATATCTAAGTTTGCTGTCCGTTGCAGGAGAAGTGGCCGGCGCAGACGGACCGACAGCTTCGGCTGGCGCGCCGACAGCTCGGACGGAGAGACGGTGGAGGCTCCGCGCCGCAAACGCCGTCGCACGGACACCGACGCGAGCGAGGGCGCCACCGTGCCCGGCCGGCGAGGACGACGCAAGAAGACGGACGTCGTCGCCGCGGCGACGGCGGGGAGCGAGAATACGGCAGAGTTGTACTGCGTCTGTCGGACTCCCTATGACACGTCCAGGTAAGGGCACGGCCGGCGGCGCCACCTGTTGCATTCCGACGTAGTTAATATAACTGCAGTTGTGAAAGTGAAACTCAAGCGCGACGCGTGTGGATTAAAAACACGACAGTCAATTGACCCAGCAGTGACCCACAACGTACCTCCAAAAACGACATCGCACTGACCCAATCTATGACAGGGTTCGTAGCGGGTCTTCCAAAGTCTTATAAGTACTTATTTTGCAAAAAATAAAATAAGGGCCCTTATTAGTACTTATTTTTGGTGAAATCTTAGAAAAGTACTTAATAGTCCTTATTTTTTGCCAAAGGACCATTCATATAAATTGTTTTATAAACTGTTCTCGACTTAGAGTAAGAATTGTTGTATATATATAATACAGAATAATTAAATCTGCTGTGCAATTGTGTATATAAATATTATTAGTGTACTTTAATAGTTGGTGATCTATCAGAAATCGCGTAAAAAAGTCTTATTTTGGCCTCCAGAAAGGGTCATATAAGTCATTATTTCAACATGTGTCTTACTACTATGAACCCTGCTATGAGTGCGCCTTGATACTGGGAGCTTATATGCGAGGATGTGTTGCATATATGACAGTGAAAAAAATACACGGGGGCTCGGGGCGATTTAGCCCCCGAAATGCCAAAAAGAGCCCCCGTAAATTTGCATAGATTTCAATGCAAACCAAATTTTAGAGTGCTATTTTCATGCACGCGAGCTTAAAAAGTAGCCCTCGCAAACCTTTTAATTTTTTCCCTGATATATGAGGTTATATATGAAATTGTTATGACGATTTTTTTTGAGAGAATGATTCCGTCCCGCGGTTACGGAGCGGTAGGATGGAGTGAGCAGCTGTACAAGTCGTCTGTCGGTTCTTTGCAGGTTTTACATCGGCTGCGATCGGTGCTTCAACTGGTTTCACGGTTCGTGCGTGAACGTGACGGAGAAGCAAGCGGAGGGCGTGAAGGAGTACTTCTGCCCGTCGTGCCGCGCGGACAGGGAGAGGGAGTCGGGTGTCGAGCTGTGTCACATCTGCAGCCTGGCCAAGTATGCGGCATTAACATCTTGCTGTTCTCTCTCTCTTTCGTGCGCGCATGCGCTTTCTCTCTCCCGCGCTCTCCCTTTTTCTCTCTGTGTCTCTCTCTCTCTCTCTCTCGTGCGTGCATGCGCTTTCTGTCTCCCGTGCTCTCCCTCTTTCTCTCTGTGTCTCTCTCTCTCTCGGTGCTCTCTCTTCCTCCTTCCCTTTCTCTTCTTTCTCTCTCTCCCTCCCTCCCTCTCTTCTCTCTCTCTCTCCCTCTCTCCCTCTCTCTCTCGTCTCTCTCTCTCTCTCTCTCTCTGCCATTCTCTCTCTGCCATTCTCTCCCTTTATTGATTTGTGCGTGCGTGCGTGCGTGCGTACGTGCGTGCGTGCGTGAGTGTGTACTCTACCAATAATGTCTAGTGCTGCATATCTCCTTTAGCAGCAGCGAGTAACTGCACTTGGCGAGAATTCGACGCGCCGAGAACGCTTCCAAGCAATCATTCCCCCATTTACTTCCCCACAGGTCGAGTGACGACACAGCTAGGGGACGCTGCGTGTGCCTCCCGCCCGGCGAGGACTCGGTCGTCGAGGACGCACTTCTCGACTTCCGCGAGCCTTCCCCCGGAGAAGCCGAAAAGGTCGCCACCCCCAACGCTCCCGCCCCCCGGACGCCGGCACCGGAGTTGGGAGGTGTCGCCGGCAACGCGGCGGAGGAGAAGGAGGTTGGCGGTCGGGGACGCTATTCGGCTGGCGGGCAGCTCTCTGCGTTCCAGGAGGAGGCGTTCTCGAAAGAGGACCCCGTCGTTCAGGACTTTGTCGAGGAGGAGGTCGACGTCGTCACGTTCGAGCAGGAGAGCGAGGAGGAAGAGGAGGAGGAGGAGGAGGAGGAGGAGGAGGAGGAGACGGACACAGCCAGCTCCATGGGGGAGAGGGAGGACCTCTACGCCACGCTGCTCCGTCCCTCCCCCTCCCCCCCGCCGCCGCGCGTCGACATCGCAACCCGTGGCACCCCCGCGGAGGACGACGCCTCGGCGAAAATGCCGCCGCCGCTCTCGCGCGGCGTCTCGTTCCCGAGAGGTGGCGCCAGCATGCGCGATGCCGGCGACGTCTTCGGTTCGCCACCGAGGGCGCCACCCGAGCTGACGCAGCCGCCCGGCGACACTAGTAGCAAGCATGTCGAGTCGCCCCCGGAAGCGAGATCGGCGCCGGGTCGTCGCCATAGCGACCAGTTTGACCCGCAGGTCAGCTACCTGGTCGACGAAATGATCGACATACTGCAGCGAGACGCTGGCAGTGGCGCATTGGCGCCCCCTGCCCTTCTCGGCGCGACAATGGCGGCGCCCCCTGCGCCACTCGGCGCGACTCCGCTGTCGCCCACCGGTGCTCTTGCCGGCAATCTGCCGCCGGCGCCCCCTGGCTCGCTCGGCGGGCATCCGCAGGCGCCCTCTGGCTCGCTCGGCGGACAGCCGCCGGCGCCCCCTGGCTCGCTGATGCCGGCGGACACGTGGGGAGACTTTGTCGAGTCGGCCGACATCGTGCGCATGGACGAATTCGTGCACTCGTCGCTCGAAGAGTTTGACCTGACGAGCCTCGTCACGGACAAGTCGCTCGCGCAGATCGTTCAGCAGGCGTCGCCGAGCGGCGGCGGCGCCCCCGTAGCGGCGCCGGTGCCGGGGTCCAACATCGCGCAGGAGCTGTCGGCGCTTAACTCGATCATCCAGCAGCGCAGCGGGGTCACGGCGACGGCTACGGCGGCGCCCCCGCGGCTGTCGCCGATGCGGCTGCACCACGAGCTCGGCGGGATGGACGTCGGGGGGATGATGGACATTCCCGAGCTGAACGCGCTCATGGAGTCGCCCGAGATATCGGCGATGCTGAACAGTCCCGAGATCTCCGAGCTGCTGCAGGAGCTGCCGGGCGGCGAGGGATCGGAGTCCGACGCCGCCTCGCCGGCGAAATCCTCGCCCGTGCGTCCGCGCGCCGCCGCGCAGCCGTGGCGACCGCCGCCGTCGTCGGCTGTCGCGCGCAACCTGTCGGGCATGCTGCGGGGGCGGCGCGGCGTGCGCGAGCGTCCGTGGAAGCTCGTGCGCCTGCCGCCGATCGAGAAGCCGCGTCTGCGCGAGAACCGCAAGCCGCGGCGGCTGTGGGAGAGCGAGCGCGACGACGAGGGGGAGGCGGCGGCGGCCGTGGCGGCGGCGGCGAGACGGCGGAAGCCCCGCGACGCGACGGCGCCGGGAGCGGTCGCCGGCCGCGGCAGGGGGCGCCGCAAGCAGCGGCTCGCGGTGATGCTGGACGAGGAAGCGCGGGTCGTCGGCGGCGGCGGCGGGGAGAGCGGCAGCGACGCGGACGCGGCGACGGTGGCGCCCCCCGGCGAGATCCGAAAGAAGCGCAAGTACACGAAGCGGAAGCACACAGACGGCTCCGCGCCGCGGTCCCCGCCGCCGCCGCCGAAGTACCACCGCCGCCGCAAGGTGGCGCCGGCGCGGTCGCCGCTCGACGACTACCTCGCGTCGCTGGCGCCGCACGCGCGCGACCACCTGTACACGACGCCGGCCGGCCCGCTGCTGTCCTACATGAGCACGCCGACGATGCGGGAGCACGACTACGCGAAGGAGCTGCTCGTCGACCGCACGCCCGACGCGTACTCCGTCTCCTACTACGTGTCGAAGTCTGCGGCGCGCGTGCGACCGTACGGCCGCCAGCGCAGCGGGTACATCCCTCCGCGGGAGGAGGTGCCGGCGCCGGCAGAGACGAGGGAGAGCGGCGGCGGCGCGCGGCGGCGGGAGGAGGCGCGCGTCGAGCACCGGACGACGAACGAGGAGCGGCGGTGGAAGCGTGGACAGAGGGCGCTGAAGAAGCAGCAGCGGGATCTCGTCACGAGACTCAAGAAGCTGGAGCGCGTGAAGAAGCGGCAGGTGAGCGTCAGGAGCGTTGCCGCGGCGACGGGTGTGTCCGGCGTCTGCGACTGTAGTCTCTGTTTCTCCGTTGTTTCCGCCACAGTTGTTGCTCTATTATCTACTGTTGTACTTTGCTCTTTTGCTCCCGTAGTCCCTAGTGTCCGGCGTGTGCTGCTGTAGTTTCTGTACCCTCTGTTTCTCCCACAGTTGTTGCTCTAATCTACTGCTGTACCTTACTCTACACTATTGCCCCCACAGGTGGCTATTGCAATCACAGGTAGCTATTGCCCCCACAATTAGCTATTCCCCCCACATGTAGCTATTCCCCCACATGTAGCTATTGCTCTACTCTACTCTACTACCGCTAACTGCTTCGTTGTGTCTTCCCCCCGGCAGGAGGCGGTGGCGCGGCGCGCGGCGAAGAAGCACGAGGCGAAGGCCGACGCGGTGCTGACGACGAGACGCAAGCTCTACTCGTGCAGCCACTGCCACGAGAAGTTCGTCAACCTACGGCGGCTCATCGGACACGCGTGCCGCGTCGAGGAGGCGGCCGCCGCGCGCAAGACGCGCTGCGTCAGCTACACGTGCAAGTTCTGCGGAGAGAAGTTCGCAAAGTACGGCCTCCTGCGCGCGCACAAGAAGACCCACGCCGCTTCCGAAGAGGAGGAGGAGGCGCGGCGGCGGCGGGAGGAGGCGGCGCGCGCAGAGGACGACCGGGAGAACGGGGAGGCGGGCGGGGGCGGAGTCGACGACCCCGAGTGGACGCCGGAGGCGGGGGAGCGTTCGTACGAGTGCCGCGTGTGCGGAGAGCGATTCCGCGGCATGCGGCCGCTCATCCGGCACCGCGACACGCACTTCGTGACGCCGCGAAACCTGCGCAGCCGCTCTGCTGCCGCCGCCGCCGCGGGGGAGGAGGCCGTGCGGCGGCGGGGAGGAAAGCGGCGAGAGGAGAAGGGAGAGGTGCGGCGCGCTGTGGAGGACTGCGTCGCGCAGCTCCTCAAGGCCGTCACGTTGAAGGAGAAGCGGCGGCGCTACCACGACAAGATACGCGCTCTCCGCCTCCTCGAGCGACAGAACGCGAAGCCGTCTCCCCCGCCGCCTCCCGCGGCGGCCGCAGCGTCGGCGCCCTCTGCCGAGGAGCGGACGCGGCCGGGCCCGAAGCCGGGTTCTCGCGTGGAGCGTGAGCGTCCGTGCGAGGCGTGCGAGCTCGTGTTTAAGAGCGAGCTGCGGCTGCACGTGCACCGCGCCAACCAGCACAACGTGGCGCTGCGCGTCGCCGACGGCTACCGCTGCGTCGTGTGCGCGCGCGTCATGGCGTCGATGGAGCGCGTCGAGACGCACGTGCGCGCGCACCGCGCCAAGTACCAGCGGCGGTACGGCGCGACGGCGGCGCAGCGGGCGGCGAGGGTGCGCCACACGTGCTACGCGCTGCCGCCACGAGAGCTCGCGCGCGCCTGCCGCTGGGTGACCGTCAACAATCGACTCGTGCGCGTGCCGACCGACGTCGCGATGCGAGAGGGGGCGAACGGCGTCGCAAACTACAGCGTCGTCACGACGACGACAACGACGCGCGAGCCTGGGGAGCCGCCGCGGAAGACCGTCGCCGAGTGAGAGAGCGAGGGCGATCTGGCAGGGGGCGCCGCGCATCGGACCGCGACCCGGCAGGGTGCGCTGTGCTATGTGACGAGCGTCACGACGGAAATCCGGTACGATGTGCTAGGGCGCCCCCCAGCAGCGGACGCTCGTCTCACGTCGCGGGCCCTCTGAGCGTGTTGGAGCAGACCCAGCCAGATAACCTGCGGTCCTCGTGAACGCCGCGCTGCCTCCGCGCTCGCGACGTCATGTTTTCATAAAGAGAACTTTGTAGATTTCGCGTCGGGAGTCACGAGCCTAGCAGCGTTTGGCGATCGACAAAGCTCGGAGCTGTTCGCCTTAGATGGCGAATCGAAAGCCTTGAGAACTACGTTGTATTTCCTAGAGTGTAGAACGGTGGCGTAACAAGAGTCGCCGAGGCGTGGAGAAGCGAAGACGTACGCGGCGAGATTACGTTTTGGTTACCTAGAGTTCGTAACTTCGTTGTAAGAAACATAGAAAGTTGTCGAGGAGATGGCGCGAGTCGTGAAATTTTTTGCGTAGCGTACAAAAAGCTAAATTACGGCGTAAGTGAAGCGCGTGCGTACGAGATGTTAGACTTGCGAGATAGTCGCGAGCAATTCACGACTTTTCCGACAGCAAGCATCGTACATTGGCTGTATAATGCACACGTTTCTCATCTCACATTGGATCGTGCGAGTGTAAATATAATTGCTGCTGTTAATCGCTTTCGGTTCTCATCGATACGGACGAGTCGTAGTTTGCGGTGACACTTTACCGTATGAGCATTATGCGAGTTTGTGTAGCGCGTAGCTACGTAGCATGGTGATGTACAGTCGACAAATTTTCCTTGACGGAATGGGGTTGCAGCAACTACGAGCTGCGTCGTACTGCTGCGGGTGTAAATAGGATAGGGAGCGAGAGGGGGGCTGCATGTATACCGTTGATGATCGTGTGTGAGATCGATTACGAAGCGATTGGGAATGAATGATGGCGGATGGACGGCTGTAAGTAGTAGTGTCGTAAAGGTTATCTAGCGTGTAGGCTGTTAGCTGATTCGATTACAAAGACATTTCCATGTTTGCAGGTGACATTTTGCTAATGTTGAGTTTGTTTGTGTGTATGTGTGTGTGCGTGCGTGTGTGTAAATATGTATGTCTGTGTGTGTGTGCGTGCGTGCGTGTTTATGCAATGTGTACATCACACGACACTAATTCTCGTCTGCTGTTGTCGTGCTGGTGGTGCCCCCCGTTGTTAAAATGAAGTCACGATTACGACAGACCAACATCTGCCAACAGAAGGCACTAGTGGCGGCACCTGTTGGTAAATAATGGCTGTATCTGCTACAAAAGAACAACAAATT